GGAAACCACCTTTGTGAACATTTTTGGAGATATGATTGATATTTTATACCTCCATGTGAGACTGCAGATACAGATAGCCTGTGATGAGTTAAAAGACATTATTGATCAGAGACTGTCTCTAGAGAGATGACATGCTTCTGTTGCCATGTAATTATTTTAGCTCCTTATTGGTAATGATACTCAAATGCAATTGGATTTTGCCAAGAATAAATGTGTAAAAGAATGACTACCAGGCCTTTTCTTAGACTGGCACCAGCACAAGACAAGAGGTGATGTTTTTATAACACTTGGAGGCTCAAAATTGCCTATAAAATAATGAAGAAATAAATACACCAAGGAACAGACAACATAATGAGAGTTCACTCTGCACTCCAAGACAGTAAGTAGACCAAAGTCACCTGGTCTTCTTTTAAGAAATGCCAGATTTCTTATTTGTCTCTTAATTCTTTCACCCTGTGCATATACATTTCAGTATCATTACATGCTGAAATTCAATATTCTGTGATCTGCCTTCGGGCTACAGGGTGGATGCCCATGGGAGCAGGAAGAAACATACTTGTACAATCACAGATGTGTTCTTTTATGCTTTGCAATGCAGAAACCATTTAAAAATATTTTTGTACATAACTGATATAACACAGCCCTTTTTTGGACTAATAGTCCCAAGGCAGTGTTAGCAATCCATCCTCAGTATGTGGGAATACATGAGAAGGGGCAGAGCTTCATTGGTGATGGGAAACAGAAGCAGCTGGTGGAACACGGCTGCCAGCCCTGGATGACTTTCCTCATGATTTATCTCAAGAAATCCTCTGCTTGCAGTACAAGGGGATGGAACATTTTCTATAAGGGTGGACAAGGTAAACCAGCAAGTAACTCCGAAATGGGAATTTCTGTGCTGTTCAGTGGTATCATAAAGCACAGGAATGCTGTCAGAAATATTCCTGTGATACTAAAAATATTATTTTTTGTGGCTAATAAGGTTAGGGTTCATCGAGTCCCTTTCTGCCAGAGAAGAGAGATGGATTAACATGAGCTTTGTCCTCTGCTCAGCTAGCTGCTTTGTTGAAACTTGTGAGAATCTAGTGTCTCATAGATCCTTACTGTTCTGTTATCTTTTGGTTGAAATTGCCAATGGATTCCAATATTGTTGGGAACCTCCCAGGTGGGCACACAAACATACACACTCAGGGACAGTGGAAGCTCGTATCCTTCGAAAACCTAGCTAAAAAGGACTTCCAGTACGATTTGCATGAGACAGCTGCACAAATTGTAAGGGGATTTAACTGAAATCTAGTTAGCAATAGGACCTTATCTATGCTGATCTTGAGGTCTGGTTCCTAAGGGCAGGCAAACTAACTACTAAAAGTATGAGAGTGATGGTGCTTAGCATTACAGCATTGTTTATCTTTATTGCTTAAAGCCAGCAAAATGACTCCAACCTATTGATGGGGAAAGGTTCTGTTTCTTTTGTACTAGCTAATTTCTAGCTCCAGATGGCAATGTACATGGGTAACCCATCAATAGACACACTTTTCCATCCTGTGCCTTTAATAACCACTGCCTATCCTTGCTGCCAAGCTATTGCTCTCAAGTGAAAAATGTTTTCTCCTGCCTTTTTTCTAGAAGTAGTTGGAAGAAGGAAAACGTGCTAGTTATGGTTATAGACCCTGTTCCAAAGTTTTGGTTTAAATTCTCTTTTGAGGCTTTGAAAGAGGTTTTAGTTTAAATCCAATGTGCCTTGCAGGCTTGTATGCCAAATTCTGTTTCTTTACCAGAGTTAGTGGTTAAATGTGTGGCTAGGAGCTCAGTGGGAGGCAGGAGATGCCTTAGCTCTGGGCTAAGATATTGCCAACCTGCAGTAAGTGGTTTTTGCCTCTGTATGTGACGGGGTTATTACCCCCTGCTGCAAAACTTTGTGCTGAGAGCTGGCAGCTGTTTCCTCACTCAAGATTGTGGCTGCCAGCTCTCGATGCAGCCGGGCCTTGGTGTGTGCTGTCCAAAACTGGTGGCAGGGCTGGAGTTTGTATCAGTGGCATGGGTTGAAGGACTCTGATGCATGACAGTGGACCCTGCTGTTCTGGAACTTGCTGTTCTGAAGGGGTTTTGCATTTGCACTGCTCTTGGTTTGTTAATTGCCCTTACTCTGCTCTCTACCTTTTTTTTTTTTTTTTTTTTTTGCTTGGAACTGTACAACATAATTGCTTTTAGCCCATGTGCCTAACATCTATGCATGAAGTAGCTTAGCTGGATGATCCATAAGCTAGAAACTATGTGTATGCAGATGCTAGAAGTCTACAAGAAAAAATGCTGAATATCAGTAAAGCTGATCTTTGCTCTTGTAATAGAAGGCAAAGAATCCTTTTTTTTTAACCTAAATTCTTGTTTCAATGCCACGTTGGATATTGGCTCTTCCTAATGTTCACTGTAGCTGTAAGAAGGGGTTGTAATGTCTCCGCACCGCTGGAACAGCTGGGTTAAATTACTGACCTGTGGTTTGTCTGTGAATATCTTTGAGAAATCAGGTAATGCAAAACCACGGGTCACTGACAGTTGTTTTTCACAAAGTATTTTGCACTACAAGTCTGAAGAATGTATTACTTTCTTTGAATTTATTTCTGTGTATAACCACAAAGCTGGCAAGTTCACTGGCTGATGAATTTATTTTCTGTTTGTAAAGTCCGGTGCCAGTTCATTGAATTCAAAACCGTTTAATGGGGTGTGTGTTTGGAATGGACAGCACGTGCAGCCCTAATGCTGTCTCCCTCCTGGGGCTATTTTTTTTGGTTAAGGAAAGTTCAGTTTGCTTAGCATGTAAGACTTCCATATGTTCTGCGAATTCTTTATTTTATTACACCACAATATTATTGTTAGTTGCCACTAAAATATTCTTGTTCTAAATATTGTTTAAATTTGGCTAAAAAATTAATCAAAATGTCCCACATGGGATGATGTGTGGCAGTTCTTATTTTGGTGCATGATATGGTGCAAATGTTGAAAAATTATTTGGAGTTGTTTTAGGATGGATATAGGCATACAAGTTGTAGCCTGTTCAGAAGAGCCATTTGACTGAATTAATATTTGTCCTGGATCACCTCAAGTTGTACACAGTGGCTGATTAAACTGGTAAAATTGTGCAACTCTGTAATAGACTGGAGGTTAAAGGTTGTAGCAGAGAGAAGACAGCTGAGGAGACCACCTTTGTGGTCCATTGAACTTGGGATAACACTAAGACTTTCGAGCCCACAGAAAAACCGATAGTCTCAAGGAACCCCCCTAGATTAGCAATGTCAAATGCCTGTTTTGCAGCCTTGTATTTTTTGTAATGAGTAAATTAAACCTATTCCTTTCTTGTTTGATGTTTTATCATTCCAGACTCTTTCTGCAGAAGCCTGCTGCAAAAACAAAGGGAAAGGGCAGCAGGTCCTGACCTGTTAGGAGGTCCAGGTTTTGCAGGATGTGACAAACATTAACATGTAGGAATGTTTCATTTATTATCACGTTCTGATTAAAAAGTTGTAATGTCAGCTGGTGACAAGGTCATCAGTTGACCTTACTGCCAGGTAATGAGGAACTGGTGAAGAAGCTTCCCACATCACTCATTTATATTCCCTACTAACTCCTAACTCTGGGTGTTGCTACCTACTGTCCTGAGCAATGTTTCTTTCTGTACCAGCTGGCATTGATAACAATCACTTTGGTACCTACATAGACTCTCTTGGCTTGTATATCTTGACTCTCCTAAAAGTATGAAACAATTTCAATACAAAATAAAATTTAACTGATAATAGTTCCGTTTCAATAAAATGCTATGTTAGGCAGCATAGTGTGAACATTATTATGAAAAACACTGGCAATAGAGAAGGGGAATGGATTTGATACAGGTAGGAGATGACTGACCTATTGCTTTTCAGTTGCATGGACCTTGGTAGCACTTTGCCTGCGGCTCCTTGGTGGGAGTTGTGTCAGGCAATAAGCAGCCAGGTGGGGAGAGGCAATGGCTCAGGAGCAGTGCACCCAACATCTCCAGTGTGCTCTAAGAGTCAGCCAAATCTCCTGTTCCTCAGGAGAGTAAGGAATTCTGTAGGAAACTGTGTGCAGAAATCTCCTCAGATCTGTTCCCAGAGAACTGCCAACTTTCAGGAGAATGTGTTGCAATTACCAGTCACAGGAAATCCAGGAGTCAAGAAAAGTGGCCACTCTTGGCCTGGGGTAAACCTTGACAGTTGCTTCCAGGAATGAACACACATATTTTTTTCTACTTTGTAATACAAAATTACAGATGGTACAATTGTTCTCATCAATTTCAACTTTGCTACTTTGTGGAAATAACAAAATTCTAGTTAGATCCAATCGGCTGATTCCTTAGATGGAAACTCAGTGGAAATTCTCTCTGCTACCCTTTCTTTCTTTTGAAGATCCCTGCCCCTCTGAAAATGTGAATTATCTTCTCCTTGAGTGATATTTCTCACAAACACTATGGAAATGCTTCCCAGTATAACTATTAACTTCAAAATTATGCATGATGTAATAGTTATAATCCTTCAAACAGTTACTTCTTCAAATTTTTCTACACTCTAAATGCTGAAAGACTGTGACATAACTACTACTTTGTTTCACTGTCTTGTTTGGAAGCATGCTGCTGTGGGCTGCCAATATGTGGTAAGAAATGCAGTAGGACTAACTTTTATTCCACTTAAAAAAAGATAAAAGTGGTTACAGAAAGGTCATGGGTGATGCACAAACTCTTTGTAAAAATCTTTTGCTGCAGGTGCTCTTCAAGAGCAGATCTGTAATATTCTGATCTGAATGTGGTGAGGCTGGATTTGGGTTGAGTTTTTGTTTGTTTGTTTTAAAGCTTAAATCTAGAAGTATTGAATGGCTGGGTATCTTACCTTGAACATATAACATTATGGCTACTGCAGTTCTTCAGAGTTAAAAAAATCAAGAAGGAAAAGAAACAAGTCTAATTATGTTAGTCTATGGTAATATTATTGCATAAATTAGTGGACATAATACAGCCAGTAAACAACATTGAAAAGAATAAACGTGATGGGAAACACCATTCTGGACCACTTGTCTATCAAGTTAACATCAGTCAAATCAGGGATTTTGACTTTGATCTGGGATGCCCTTCTTTGTAAGCGTCCTTTTTTATGAAGCCTGTGCCTGTCCAGAGCACTCCTACTGCAGAGGTCTCTGCTGGAAGTGGCTCTTCTGTACTGCAGGTTGGCACTGTCGTACCTGTACGTGGTGGCTCGGGGGTCACGGAAGCTCGTGAACACGTCTGAGCTGCTGACGTCATTTCGTATTTCAAGCGGGCTAAGCAGCATGTTTCCATGGGGATCAACCTGTGTCAAGGAAGGAATGTGAATTAGACAAGTTCCTGAGCCATCCCAAGGTGTTGCCCAGATGGATGGGTACCTTCTGCCTCTACTGCCGAGGTGCTCCTGGGGCTGTAGTGACAGTCATGTCTTGTACAGCATTGACAGAAGTGAAAAGATACTGAATACACTTTCCTGATGAGTGTGAAATTAGCTATTAAGCATCTAAGTACCTTCCATCCTGACCTGGCTCCTTGGTCTGGCATCTTTTAATTCAACTAGTTTTCTCATCCTCTGTGAAGTAAGACTTTTTAAATTTTATCTTTAACTTAGATCATGGTCTTTATGAAATACTGATTTTTAATGTCTGGTGACCTAACACCTGAAGCTTTACATACTCAAGGTGAAAAGAAAATGTTGCTGTCTCTGCCCATTTTGTAGAGTTTTATACAGTTTTAGGGCTGTAGGTTAGTTTCAAAAACAGTTTTGTAACAATGGGTTCATTATATGAAGAGCACATAGGTACACGTGCATTCTATCAGTTATTGTAAAATGCTCGTGGTGAGAATTAATTTTGGAGAATTACTATATTGCAGAGATGGAAATCCTCGCTCCCTACAGTATACCATTAACTTGCTCATGTGCAGATAGAATAATCCATTTTACTCAACGAAATCTTACATTCAGTTGCATTTTTATATGTTGGTACCAGAAGCAGTTGTTTCAAGTATGTTTATCACCTACTTTATTTGTGCTGATAGTTAGTTAGAGCACTGTTTTAAGTAGCTAAGCAAAGAACTGGAACTGTGGCTACTATGTACATGGCTAGCACAAAAAATTGTATATATGTATATATAAAATATTTTAATATCATTACCTTTTTAATGTATGAATGTAATTAACCAAATTAACCATGAATGGCTGCATTACTATGAAGTGTTTACCTTTTCACTCATCTTTAGTTTTCTACATGTTTGTAGTAAAACTTCTTTTAGAAAAGCTTTTTGCTGTTTCCAGGATGACTCCTGACTTCACCATAAAGAGTTCCTAGATGTTTCAAATTCCCAGATACTTAAACATCCACTGTAGCTCATATGAGGGAAATACATATCAGGACACAGAGCTCTTAAATGAAACTTCAAAGACTTTGCCTTGAGGCTTGAGTATTATAATTGTTTTTTGTAATCTGTGGTGTTGGACCTATTCCAAACATATTACAATCTATAGCGTGACTGTCTGAGAATGTCTTTATACCAAGGAAAGAAAAAAATTACTTATTGACAATATCTAGTCTTGTGAAGCATCAGTGATACGCAATGCTTGCTTTGCACTCTGAGCTTTACATTTTTAGCAAGACATAGCAGAGGTAGGAAATGGTATAATGATCTACAACAGGCTTGAAGTATGTTCAAGAAAAAACTCCAAGCAGAGCACACGGGGAAATCTAGTCTCTGGGGGCTGCTGCAGAGGAAAGCTGGCAGCCACAGAAAGCCTCGGTCCCACCTGGCAGTGTGGAAGATGTTCCTGCCCATCGCTGGGAGGAAAAAGCGTTGCGTGATGACTGCCGGTGTGTTTACACCATGCCAGACTACGCATTTACTAACTGAAAACAAAGAGGTGAAGGGGCTATTTGTACAACAGCCACCCAGGAGAGCTGTGGGGAAAAATGTCTTCTAAATGGAGTAATAAGTCACCACAGATAGAAAATGCGGTAGTCAGGTTTAGCAACTGATTCTGTGGACGCTGAAATGAGCATTCAGTGGGAATATCCCAGTTCCCACCATTGATTTGGTGGGAAAAGCTCACACATTTTGGGTTAGAGGCGCCAGCTGGTCACAGATCAGCATGGTGTTTGCAATATTTACTTGAGAGATGGGCTACCCAGTTTATACTTTTTAGGTCAAGTCTTCAAATTCAAGCAGAAGGAAATCTAAGCTAGGGTTTCCTACTCTCCAGAGGACGGCCATAACTAAGGGGTCATTCATTAATCCTAAGTTCTGACATTTTCTGTGGAAAAAGCAATGATCTCAGAGTTATCTCCATGTAAAAAGAGATTTTTTTTTTTTTTAATTCTCAGAAGTTTTGGTAAGTCAACCTTTTCTTCCTAGTTTTACGAAATAGCTCTTTGAGCTGTCTGATTACATAACCTAATGTTTAAACTAATTGACTTTAGTGCTATAATAGTAGTAACAGTAGTGCAAGCATCATTAAGTAGTTATTATGGCTTCTCTTTTGTGAAGACAACTTGTAACTGCCCACAATCTAAAGTGATTTATAGGGATGTTTCTTAAACTAATATGCCCTGATATTTTATGATAAGCCAAGCAGTGTATGAATTCCTGCTTTAAGTGTTATGAATTAGCCTGTTATATTTTAAAATGAGTTTTATTTAAATAATTTTAGGCAGGATGATTTGTATACATAATGAAGCAATTCAATCTTTAAATTGCAGTCTTTGCAATTCAGAGAAAAGGGCCTTATACTGATCTTGAATAAATTAGCTCAGAGAAGTATAAAAGCTCTTCTTAGATACCTGAGTCAAATTCTCTGTTTGTGCAACATGAAGCTGGCCTAATAGTTAATTTCCCACATCGTTAAAAACCCTTTCAGAATTTATTGAAGTTCACTCCAAAATAGTCTTAAAACTTGTGCAGCTGAGATTTTATTACTGAAGCATAGGATTTCTACAAATACCCGTAGGAATCGGGAAAACGTACAAATTGTTAAGAGACCCCCAAAAGAGACTTGTTACGTTAAGAGACTTGTTTGTGTCAATGTTAGAATGAATTAACAGCAAATATGCGCACAGTAAAAGCTGTAAATATGCTGTCTTAAAATCTTTTCTCCCTTACTTAATACGAGGTTACCTGGGGCTTACTGTTGGTCCTGTGTTGGAGGAAGCCTGTGCATCAGAAACAGCCAGCAGGCTTTAACTCATTCCACCCCATGTCTCAGTGATGAGGCTTTTTCCCCACATCAGGTATATACTGCAGTTGTACACAGTCTTTGACACATTTGCATCAGATGGCATGACAAACAATGGGGATGGAAGAGACAAGGCTCTGGCTACTCAGTTTTCTGGCCCGCTGGCCGGCTGCCTGCTTAGGAATAGAGTATCTCAGTCTCCTAGTTAGGTAGAAAAGATGAGCAATAGCAAGCCCAGAGTAGTTCTTCCTTGCTCAGATATAAGATATTTATTCTTTCAAATACCACCTTGTTCTTTAAGTGGAATGCCCTAAATTTTTTTACAGAAACCTACCGTTGCTGAGATGAGAACAGGATTTATTGCTTAACAGATATTCTGAGCCTAAATGCGTCTTTGCACGAACATATACATTTTGCTGCATTTGTACATTGCATAAATTTTGCCTAAAGTTGTAGAAAGCTGAAGAATTGTGTTTGGGTTTTTTTTTTCTTTTGAACACATCATGAAGAATATGTGAGGAGGATGCCAAAGCATCTAAAGCTGATGTTGTGTTAGTCATCTGGTATAATTATCAAAGTTTAAATATTCTTCAGATACATGTATGTGGTGATGCTTATTGTAATGACATTTATATCTATATTGAGTGTGTAGCTATATTGAGTTTATAGATTTTTAATTCTTCATTTGCACTGGAACTACCTAAAGCCTGAATTCAGCACAGGTACATATGTATCAATCTTTGTCAGTGCTGGAAAAGCCTTGATATGTGTTCAGGAAACATCATAAAGAAATGATAATTTGGCTTGTGTGTTTACTTAGAAAATGAGTTTCCTGCTTTGAAGCATCAAATGGTATTGTAAGTGTGAAATAGTAATAACAAAACCCCAAAACAGCAGTCCTGTGTTCAGCACATAAAAAGTAGTCAATCAGCTCTAGGGGAAGAGCACGCTGGCATTCCTTCACAGAGGATGGGTCTGAAACGCTTAGTGCTGTCTGGAATGCGTTTTTACCTACCTACTTTTTTTTATGTTAACTGTTGGGAGATAAAAGGTAAGAACTTTTGTTTTGTCTTAATACAAAAACATCTTTTCTTTCTCTTAAGATGAAAGATTCAGGGCCATATTACTCATACAAGCTGTCTTGTCGGAACAAATGCAGTAGTGTTATCGCAATCTGATCTACAAAGAAGCAGGTTATGCTCAGCAGCGATATACTTATTCAGGTGTGGATTTACTTGAAGGTTGAGCTGGATGTGTGGTTATGTGCTCCCTCCTCTTTCTCCTTCCAGTAGCCACTGTACTGGAAAATTGTATGTTTTCCTTGGAGCCTGTGGCTGGTCTTTGGCTTTCCATCCCAGCTGTTTTGTGGTTCAAAGAAGTTTTGAAAGGAAGGTATGATGCTATGCAGAACTGGGGAGCAAGAGACCATCTATCAGCTGCCTTGTGTTGCGATTTATGAACCCCTTGCTGGCTCAGTCCCTTTCCCACTCACATTATGATTGCATCCTGCCTCTTTCTCATGCTTAAGAGACATCCTCTCTGTAATGATTAGTCACATAGCTGTCTGGGGAAACAGAAGCAGTTGCATGCATGGACTGTCTAAATAATTTCTTGCTGGGTGGTTTGTCCTATTTATCCATAATTATGGTGGTTTCCTCAGTGACACCTAGCTTTGACAAATAGACAAGGAGATATAAACAGACTTTATGCTTTATTCAGAGAAACAGAAAGCTTGTTTACTACAAATTAGTATTTTTTTTTGCATATTAAAAACTAAAATAGCATGAATTGTTAAACTGGAGAGACTTTATTTCCACCTTCTTCAGTCTGCAGCGCAAGGAATAGCCACATGTGAAACAGCAGTATGGTTTCATTTTCTATCTGGTCTTCTCTATACTGTGTTAATATCGCAGTCAGTTTGCTGAGTGTTGCTCGCATGTCTAACGCTTTTGTTATCTGGTGAAGGAATTTGAACTCTTTTAGTTGTGGGAGTTGTATGTCGGATGGGAATGAGCAATATCTTCACCTGGCACAAAGAGAAAAAGCACTGTTACGTATGTTCTGTTGGTTATAGGTCCCTGATTGGAAAGTGGTATGAGTCAAGAGTAAAAGGGAAAAAAATATCCTATAGCTGTACATACTTACAGCTGTGCTGCTTTTGTGCTCCAAAAAAAACTTTCCCCTGCTCTGGTACAGACATCATAATACCAGTGAAAAATCTCAAAACATGACGGGGAGAGGCTGGGAGCTGTCTTCGCTAGACATCACGTACCCTTACTGTGTCCCGCTGCGCTGGACACGTGCATTCTCCCTGCTGGAGACAGAAATACGGCTGTTGGACATCAGCATTTCCATGCTGAATAAAATGAATGCTCACAAGGTCCCACATCAATCTATCTCCACTGACATAACAAAATCCATTGATCCATTCACATACGTGTGTCTATGTGTACGTGTATATATATCTCTCTCTCTCTAAAATCACAAACCTGCATTGTCCAGGCAGAAAGCAGTCTGTTCACTTAAAGCATTCTCAGTCTCGGAATGAAATTGCAGTCTGCAGTGTGAACACTTACAAATCCTGGTACAAAGCGTGTACGCCTTCCCATTTCTGTCAGAAAAATGCTGGTGTGTGCATGTGGCGCTCCAAAAAGTTCAAGTGTGGTTGTAAATACTTTCCATCTCATTCTGAGTACTGGTTGGTCTCAGTGTAATCTTTGCCAGTGTAACATTTAGACAAAAGCTTTTAGTCATGAGTTAGGGCTTTTTGTTAGTTAAACTCTCCAAATATGTAGGAAAAAGAGCTTACCTGCACTCTTATCCTTTACACTTTCTCATCCTTTACTCAGTTCAGTGCACTGGGGCCCACGTAGCCAAGGCTGACACTGAAGAAGTGTTGCTTCCCTCTTCATCGTGAATCCTTGCTGCACTTCTTCTCACCTGGGATGGGTTGTCTCAGGAGATGTTGAGGTGGCTGGTCAGAGTTTGTGGGTTTTGTGGTTTTTTTTCCCCGTCCTTAGCTTTCACAGAAATGGATAGACAGTGTCTGCACACAACAATCCATAACAGGATGGCTTGTCAGAGAGGTTGTGGAGTCTGCTTCTCTGGAGATATTCAAAACCCACCTGGATGCAATCCTGTGCAACTTGCTCCAGGTGAACCTGCTTTGGCAGGGGGGTTGGACCAGGTGATATCTGGAGGGAGGTCCCTTGCAAGCCCAGCCATTCTGGGATCTCCTCTGGTCTGTGGAGGACAATGCTTTGTGGGACCTTGGAGACTGTTGCAAACCTGAACTTAACTTGTGCACCCACTGTAATAAAGCATCTCCCACACATTGGGACAGGAGATGAATGCTGGTAAGGACTTTTGATGGGCTCATGAGCTCACTGAGGCTGAAGACATGCTGACTCTGTTAGTGATGCTTAGCTGTAGTGGTGTGGCTGCTGGGACACAAGACATGCAACCCTAGAACTAACGAAATATCACAGAGTTTCTGAAATGCACTTCCTGACATGTACGTGAAATTGCAACCATCCATCATGCTAAAGTCTTACCTGTTAGAGTTTTATGTGTTGGTCTCATTCTTCAAGCTGAACAGAGAGGTCAAATATAATTTTATCCAAATGTTATCACCTCAGGCCTCAACAGTACAGAAGTTTATAGGACAGCGTAGGTAAGATCTCATTAATACTTGGATGTAATATATTGTAAGAAAAGCAGAGAACAGAAGAAAAATTTTGGCTCATTAGGATATGTATTTTCCTCTGAGTTGAACTGGGCCAAGTACACCTGAGGGAAGTGTTTATTTCTGAAAAACTGGGAAAAAACTCGAAGAGGTTTATAGAAGTTTGCAAATGCTCAGTGATGTACTGCTAAATGAAACTTTTCCCTGTTAAAAAAATGTCCATAGTATTACTTCCTGGAGTTTGTCTGGCTTGTTTTTTAAGAGGGGGTAGCTGTGATCTACTTGAATTTACCCTGAGGGAAAAACCCTGACACCTGTGAAAGCTGTTATAACCTAGCAGCATCCTCCTTGCATTCCTGGAGGCTCGGTGGTGTGGGCTTCATTCAAGACTCACTGAAGCAACAGTGTCTGTCCTTGCTTTCTATTTTTGGTGAAGTTTCTGTGTGTAAAGAGGAACTATATCATGAAAATTTCTTGTATACCACCTTCCATAGCAAAGAAATATACAGTTGAAATGGTAAACATTTAACTTCCTTGTACCCCTTGTATTTCTTCTGTGCTGCAAAGAAATGCTTGTTCTGAATATTCATTTACATTTTCTGTGATTTCTTGCTCTGTTTTCAGCTGAAGACAGAACAAACCATGTGGCTGTAATCTCCTTAAAATATGATTTCTGTCTAGGCAATCTTAAATGCTTTTGCATATGTGTTCAAACCGCATTTATTTCTATCATCTTATACACCAACATTGTCACAGCAGAAATAATGTTTAAAAAATTAGATTGAACATTTTACCTGGACTCTATTTGATTCCGGTCTGCTCTTCTCGCCTGTACCATGTCCTGCCCTGCCTGCTGCCTTTTTTTGACGTTGGGGTCCTTTCCCAAAGAATATGTAGTTTACAAAGGCATATTCCAGCAAGGCCAGGAACACAAACACAAAGCATCCCATCAGGTAAATATCTATTGCCTTGACATAGGGAATCTTTGGCAAGGTCTCCCTGAGGTGGGTACTGATGGTGGTCATGGTCAGCACCGTTGTGATTCCTGCAAAAGGAAGAAAAAGACATTGACTAACAAGAGAGGGAAGGAGATTTGAGCGTGAAAAGTGTAATGGCAGCATTACGGGGCTGCCATGCACTTCTCTTGCAGATTCTTAACAGCCAAGGGAATGTGTTTTGCAGGACTGGAAAGGAAGGTATCCTCGCAGGCCTGCTTCCTTGGCTTTCCATGCAACAGAGAGTGAACAAAATAGCCTTCAAAAGCTCAGGGTGTCTTGGTACATCTTGCCTTAATTTTTACAATAACTCTGTGAGGAAATGTGGTGTTAGCTGACCTGGATAGCAAAGAGATGATCACTGCTCTTTCTACGTGAGGAATACTTTTCACTCTATTTACAGGAGTAGCCCTGCTTGACCCCATAGGGTGGCTTGCACTGCTCTGGGGATCTGGAATAAGTATCTAGCTTTTGACTTAAAACAGAGCATTGAAAGGAGAAAGGGAAGCTTTATGGTAAAGTCATGGTCTTTGATGAAGAGAAAGTGATATACATGCTTGTATCAAAACAGCTTTTCCTGTTAAAGGGGTGCTTGAAAGTAAGGCATTTCCATCCCATTATCCATACATTATTTTTTGTGTGTGTTTTGGTTTACCTGGATAAAATTATTTTTAAGTCTGCTTTAATTACAGGTGATTAATGCATCTAGATAATAGTTCTAGGCACAGGTATAATGAGTTGAATTTACAGAGAGGTGGGACAAAATAGAGGTGGGATAAAATGGCTTTCTGGCATTAGCATTTGAAAAGTCTGTCTGCCTTAAAGTGCAGATGGTGGCAGCAGATCTTGGTTCTTATGGAAAGTCATAGGAAGGAACGTAGCACGGGAAAGAACCAACTATGTAGGTAAAACAGGCTTATTTGGCGTAAGCTGGTATAGCTCTGCTAATGTCAGTAGGGTCTTGTGTATTCATTCCAGCCACACATCTGGTCTGAGAGGTCGCTTTTTAACATCAATGAAATGTTGATGCAGCACAGTGTAGATAACCTTAGATGGCTGAATTAGACCTTCACGCTTCAGTTTGGAAGCAAGATACTTTTGGCCTGATCCAAAGACCACTATGGCAACTGGAAGTCAGTCAGGATCCCAACCTAACTGCAGAGCAAGAATTACAGATGTAGGCAAGGTGACAGCTGCCTGCCTTCCTGACAACAAAGACCCTATGCTGCATGTGTAAGATCACAATTAATGCTGCTGCAATCAGCTGTATGGATTTGGTGCTACTGTATTCAAAGTCAACAAGTATCTGTAGCTCAGTGATTTTGAAAAGAAGTTACCTAGGGCAACTCTGGCTGCAGAGGCATCGTAATTGATCCAAAAAGATACCCACGACAGAATTGTGATCAGCGTGGAAGGCATATAGGTTTGCAAAATGAAGTATCCAATGTTTCTTTTAAGCCGGAAGCTAAGTGATAATCGAGGATATGCTCCTGAAAGAAAGAAGTCTTATGATGAGTAATGTGTAACAAAGGTTAGACACTGATATTTCTGGACTGGGGAAGGTGGGGGGAGCTTTTTTAACTAGTCAGTGCTTACCTGTTGTAAATTCCACTCTCTTTGATACCATCTTGTAATCAACAATAGAAAATTGTGGGAGCTCAATGTTATTAACTCCCGTTACTGCCGACTCTCCTCCATTCCAGTAGAATTCAATATCATCAGTAGTGTATCCATCTGAAACAGAGGCACAGTTTGGTTATTGATTTTTCTTTTTGCTTTATTACATGGCTTAAATAGTTGCGGTTAAGTGGAAGGAGCTGCCGTTAATCAGGAATTGAACCTTCTGTTGTGTGACATTTCTGTTACACAGAAGCCACGTAGCCTCCTTTGTACCCGGGGGAAACTTCTAGGTGTGGAAAGGGAGAAGACAGAAAACAAGGACAGAATTTAAGATCAAGGATCAATTTTTAGCTAGCTCTAATACTACTATTTTTCTTTCAGGCTTGAGTTGCTCAGTTTACCAACAGACTGGTACAACATCAGCAAAACTTTTAAACTCTCTAGGGTGAGCTCTGACAGTAAAACCAAGTTCAGTCCCCAGCTTTGCATTTCATTCCCTATGCAGGCTGTGACAAAATACAGAGTTTGGAGCCAGTGGAGGCCAAGATGATTCCAGAAGAATGCAGGTGCCTGTACTATTACCTGACAAAGTCTGTTGGAGCTGTGGGTATCCCTTTGACGTTCATGCAGCATTTTATATTTTAATTAGACCATGCCACCTTTGATCTTCTGTTATCACAGAACTATTTCCTATCAACTTCAAAACTAGCATGTTTCTTCTCTTTCCTTTTAACAGTGATGTTGATTATTTATCATTTAATTAAAAATTAATTTGCCATTCTACCACTGGGAATGTTAACATTTTTGTTACCATTTTCAAAAACATTTTGTTTAAGCTCAAAAGTGACTGAATTTCAAAAAAACCTCACAATTAATGACATTTTTAACTAATATTTAAACTGATTCCAATTTATTACATTTTACTACTTTCTCCAGATATCTGCCAAAGGAGAGAATAAATTCTCATCTATTTTTAGACTTTTCTTTCAGGTGTTAGATTTAATCAGGTTTAAATCATGTAACACAGATCAAATAAAAACATATGTTTGAACTCAGAGCTTTAGAAAACTTGACAGTAGTTTTGCCAGCTGACCCAACCATAGCATCAGAAGCCTCTACAGAGTTAGGAACTTATCGTTTCATATGCACCAATAATGCAATTTCTAGCTAGGGAAATTACTCTTGAGATGTCTTTTCCGGTGATAGTCCCTGGTAATAGCCTCATCTCTGGAAGGCTGACCATGTGCAGAACAGGTCCGTAGTTTCCCTGGTGACAATCAGAGAAGCGCTCTCAACTTGCTGCCAGGCTCAAGGAAAGTCTACAGTTATTGAGCAGCTATCTTTTGATGCAAACACACAGTGATGGGCTGGACAAAGTTAAGTGTTCACATATCTTATTTGTGAACAGCTCAGTGCCATAGTTTGCTAACTATCTGAATTGTTCCTGAGACTGTACTAACCTGTGTAGTATGGATCACTGCTGTTCGCTTAAAACTGTGCTTTCCATTACTTATGCTAATTTTTTTTTGAAATGAACCATTCCAGGGCTGTCACACAGGGTTCTCTGCATGGCTGGTTTTCATTTCTTCCCACTAGAAGCCAAAAGCTTTTCACTGCAAAAGGTCAAGGTAGCTGCTTGGTAATGGGACTTCAATCGCTGCTTCAAGGGCATTGTACACAAACCACACGGCCAACATGAGCCCCAGGTGGGGTGGAATACCGAATGATTGAAGGAGGGAATGAAGACTGCGAAGTCTGTTTAAAAAGCCAAGATTAAGATTGCCAGGGAAGTGTTAACTTCATTTTCTTGCAAGTCTGTATTATAAAAAAATATCTCTTGAATGTTTTCGCTTTTTAAAAAAAGATGGAGCAAAACAGAAGAAATGGTAATCTGTCATCTCATGCTGAAAGGGTATTGATTATGTGTAGACCTGGTACCATACTGATATCCTCTATGTGAAGTAACACTCATAGCTATTTCTTTGTCTTTAGGGGCTAGAATAAAAAAGAAAGGTGCCGCGCTACCTAGATGGTGCACAGGTACTTGCTGCAAAGTCACAGATGAAAGTTTAGTTGTGAGAATCCTGGATTCTGCTTCAGGGTTTGGAAGAAAACGGTGAACCTGATTCTTTTGTTCTGTGCCATCATCACCTGGGGCCCTTTTCACACCCCCCCTTCCAATTTTGCTCCAATTGTACCGCTTGCTTGGCGGGTGCGCGCTGGGACCCATGGCAGAGAGAGGAGCCGTCTCCTGTCCTCAGCAAGTCCTGACTTTATTTGCGCTCTCCTTAGGCAGCCTCTGCCAGCCTCTCTGCAGTTCCTCTGCCTTATTGACAAAAGAGGGAATAATTTGGGCACCTTATCGCAGATAAAATTCCCTTCCCCGAAGGTGAATTATTGTAGACTTAGCTGTTAAGGCCACAATGGTACTAAATAAACAGCTGGGATATCACAGGGCAGATTTCAAAAAAAAAATGGGCAGAACTTCCTACAAAAGGATTTCACCGTGTTATCTGTACAGTGTGTGGTGATGCTGGACCTTTGCAAAAACAGATTACAGGAGTAATTTTGTAATGTAGGCAAATGTGCTTTTCACTAGTCTTGGAGAGGTTTCTATGACTTTGGCTACTAAATGAAAAGTAGAACTACAAGGTTATAAAGTCAATTGACCAAAAGCAAGAACCTTGCATGGAAGATTTCAGCTGATGACAAGCCATCACTGTTGGCAGGTCATGTCTTTAACCTTTATAAACTTAAAAAAAGACTTCCAAATACAACAAAAAATGGAGCTAGTGTGAGCTACTGCTTTTTCAAATATGCTGACTTGCTCCTTCAATTTACTTTGGTTAAAGCTGGGGGAAATTATGAGAAAAGGATAGTGATGTTTTTCAATCAGGAGCATGCACATTTGTTAGCTCTCTTTTTAGATGAGTAATTGTGCAGAAACATCTTCCTGTGGTTTTTTTTTTTTATAGAAGGAACCTCGGTGCAACCATGATTTCCTTGACGGTCATTGTAATAACTCTGCTAGACACTAACAAGGTATAAACTCTCCCTAGGCAGTCCATTCCCCGACATGATATGATTTTTGTTGTGTGATGCCCTTCATTATATGCTTTGCACATGGTTCTAAGTGTGTGAGAGGCATTACTTTCATGGCTGCTGCTGACTGATAGGTGCAGGGCTTGGAGGCCATCGCGCTCCATAGGGGTTGACGTTGCTTTTTGCTTTCCAAACTCGAAAGGAAGAGAGTTGGCTGCAGGTTAAAGACTGGAACTGATCTTGGCTCTGAGCAGAGCTAGCAGAGGACAGATCACTACTCCTCCTTTTTGAATTTGATAGTGCCTTCGAGTGAGGAGCTGTAGTGATGTAAATTAAGAAACATTCAGTGTGGAGCAGCACTAGCTTCTGGCCAGCAGGCAGTGATAAACCCTCATTTCCAGCAGCATATGCCTTAGCTTTTCTTCCATTGTAAATGTTATTTCAGCGATAGAAAAAGTGGGTCTAGCCTGTGCAGTGGCCAGCTCTAACACACTGATTTGTTTGCTGAACTTATCTGTTCTGCCCAGGTATTCCCTCAGCAGCTTTTTTTTCCATGTGATCCTTTTCCTTCTGCGTATGTATCCATGTCATTGCTTTAAAGGGATACCTCTGCTTTTGTGACGGAGACAGCAGTACTTACTGCTGGACGGTGATGTCTGAACAAGAATTTCACAGAAGTCAAATATTGGGAACTGGAAGTATTTCAATTACGTTCATAATAGCTGTCAAGAATGGTTGGAGCTTTGACTGCAGAGGTCTAGAATTATTTACTGAACGTATAAGACCATGTCATTAGTAACATTTAACAGATTTAATAACATGAGTTAACCTAATTCAATTATGCCCGTTCCCTACAAATCAGAACCGGCTTCTCCGCGTGGGAGTGGCCCGTGGCCGAGCTCCGGCGTGGCTCTCACGGCACCCACCGAGGGGGCACCGGGGGGCGCTGCGCTCCTCCCGTCTTCCCCAC